GCAGGCCCATTTGTCAGTGACCCGGCCAAATATTCTGGAGAACCAATTCAATAGTAAAATGTGTGGTTTAGAAACCCTTGAAAAACAATCACTTTCACGCTATCCTCAAAAGGGAAGGCTTTTTTGCTCCATAGACATGCAAAAAGCTCATTTAAAATTACTCTTTTAAAATTTTAGTTTCCAGGGAAGTAATTTTACTCTGTTTGACATGTTAGCTTCTTCTTTTCTCCATTACCATTTTGTACATAGAACACTATTTCGAAAAAGTAATAATGAGGTATTTTTGCTTTCATCTTTTGTAGAAATCACTTTATCCATAAATTAATTACTCCTAAACACCATCTTAGAACAACTCAAAAGGATCCTTCATCTTCTAAAATGAAGCATTTTTGAATGATACTGTAACAAAAAAATGCTCCAACTACCATTTTTCAATGATACTCCAAATTAAAGTTTTGACCATCTATATTTAAATCGGCTCCGTTCCATGGCCACTGGAATCCAGTGGCCACGGAAGCCATTGTCCCCCTACGGAGCTCCGTTCATAAAATTCATGATTCCTACCCCATCTAACCCCCCGCCAAGTCCCGACCCAAACTAATCACCCCACCTACGTCAATTGCACCTCGTAAGTGTAAAGTCAAAACTTTTGACTTTAAAGTCAATTATACTTACGAGATGCAATTGACGTAAGTGGGGTGATTAGTTTGGGTCGGGACTTGGCGGGGGTTTACCGGGGGGGTTAGAGGGGGTAAGAATCATCAATTTTATTAACGGAGCTCCGTAGGGGGGCAGTGGCTTCCGTGGCCACTGGATTCCAGTGGCCATGGAACCGGGCCGTATATAAATGGTTACTATTCAACAAACTATAATAAAAAACAAATTAAATATTTTAAAAAGTAAGAAAGAGAAGAGTGGAGATGATTGTGAGCCTACCACGTTTTAAGGTGCTGAGAGAAAGAGAAGAAAAAATGAATAAAAATTTATTAAATTTAACAAAAAAGTTTATACCATTGGAGCTTATGTGATAAACTGACAATCTATACTCCTCTAGATGTTCTAAATAATCGTATAGAGGCTCGTTTTTTAGCATTTCGGTTGGAGTTGCTCTTACAACAACTTAAACTGACTTCTGAAGATCATAAAATTAGTCGCTGATAGGATAGTAGATTAATGATATTAATTACTCCCTCCGTCCCTAAAAAATTGTCATAATTTGACATTTTTATCAAACTGTATAACCTTTGACCGTAAATTATTGAAAAAGTATATTTAGTTATAATGTAAATTTATTAAAATTAAATTTATTTTAAAATATACTTTATTGAAAAAGTATATTTAAAATTTATTAAAATTTTCGAACTCTTTCTTTAGCTGGTTAACCCATGGCCCATTCACCATAGAAAATTTTTCCTTGATGTCGTTCCAAAGCCCTGCCGCTACCTTGACTTGGGTGATTGAGTTTTGAAGAGACCCATCTATGGTGTTAAAGATCCATGATAACAGCATGATATGGCATTCATGATCTACAATTCTTCTGCTTCATCTTTATCCTCTTTCGGTTGTGGAGTGGATTCATCCACGAATCCAAATTCTCTCTTGACACCAAGTGCAATTCGCACTGCTCGTGCCCATTCTTCATAGTTATTACCAGTTAATTTGATCTGGGTGATGACTAGCGCAGGGGTGTCTGCAGATTTTAGTTCATAAGGGCTTGCCCTTGTGAATTGCTTGTTGATGTTGTCTTCTCCTTCACCGGCGGTCTTGGAGAATGGGTTCGCCTCCCCATCGTTCCTCGTCGCAATGAGCGACGTTTGCTTGTCACGGTAGACTTACGGTAGGCGTAATGAGGCTATCAGATCTTTCTCCAATACCATGTAGAAAATCATAAGATGAGAGAAACATTTATGCATTAAGTTGTCATATTCAATAAAATGATCTTTCCCCTCTATTTAAAGGAAAGAAGGAAAGAATATCAATCCTACTACGAAACAAAATCAAGAGAGACAAAAAGAAAGAAATCATCAAATTCAAAGGAGGAAATCGTAACCCAGTGGGACTCGATCGTGTGTCGCGGTCCTCCGTTGCGTGCGTCCCAAGTAACAAACCACATCTGTAGACTACGATAGTAGTCGAAAGCGACTGCAATTCAGAAATGACGCATCAGATGTGATATCTAGAATTGTGTATGACAAGAAATATATATGATCATTGTGAAATTATATTTTTAGCTTTCAAATTAAAATCAACATAACAAAAGATTAAAACAAAGACTACTTATGAAAAAATACTTTATTATAAAATTTGAGACTTTTTTTGCTAGAAAGTCACCATGTGTCAAGTCTATGTGGAATATATTAAAGTGAGATGGCAGGTTTTTATTGCTTGCTTATGTGGCAAATTTTTTAAATGGTGAATTGATGTTCCTTTTCTATTTTAAAATAAAAGTATAATTATGATAAACTTATGTTTAACATTCTTTTCATATATATAGTTGGAATATGTTTAAAATAATTTCAAAGTTCGAAAAAATTTTGTGTAAAATGTTTAGGGAAAATAAAGAATTCATTAATTACTTTGCGACATCAGTTGAGTATTTATATTTTTCTAATGGAAAGAAATTCATTTATTTATTTGTTATGGTATGATAAAACAAATTATATTATAGAATAAAATTTGTTAAAATTAAATATAATATTTTCCGGAATAAAATTATTAAAGGAAAGCAATTAAATAAAATATAATTATGATATGTGGTGTTGCTTGTGAGACTTTTTTTACAGGTAATTTATAATATGGAAAGTGAGAAAATAATAATGTGGTATGAAGTCATTAAATATAATTAATTATGGAAGAGATTATAGATCTTATATTTTATGATAAATTATGCCATAATTATGCATATTTTTCTCTTCAGTTATAGCAAAACCTTTAAATAATTAATAAGATATTCTCTTCACTTCTTAATAAACTTCACACTTTTTATGATATATTTAAATTGAACTAGTTAGTGTTGATTTTTTTTATTTAAATTTTGATAAAAGATAATAAAAAAATTATTTTAAAACTACAATAATACTTCATAAAACATGCGATGATTCAACTATACAATAATACTTATAAAGCATGCGATGATTCAACTATAAATTGTTAAAACAAGTAAAAATTACTAGATATTGTTTAGTAATTTGATTATACTACTTTTAGGGTTTGATATAATTTCTAGATAGTTTATGGTTAATAGTTCTTAGATGATTTATGATTTAGTTTACGAATATATTATTATTATTATTATTATTTATGATGATATTTTTAATTATATTAAAACACAAATGATCGAAATAAAATGTATCATTGTGACTAATTATATTACTCTAACATTATTTATAGTTTTACTATCATTGAGTAAATTTAATTAAGGAATAATAGAGATATATTTATTTTTTCAGAATATTCTTTTCTATTTTTATTTTTTCATTTCATTCGTAATAATACTTTGAATATATATATATATATATATATATATATATATATATATATATATATATATATATATATATAACTCTATTCGATCACTTCCAAATAAATTTCATATTTGTTTATGATATGACTAAGTGATTTTATATTTCATTCTATTTAGGTTTTAATATGTTTTTAGTTACTGTAAAATAGGCAATTTTTGTTTTTTGTCCATGTAATTTTTTGTTAAGTCATCCTTGCAAAAAATGTTATTTTAAGATTAGTCCCTAAATATAATTTACACTTCTAATTTGTTGAGATTACAACTTTTTATTTGTACTCAAATCTTAATCTTGCATTCCTAATTTCTTCAGACACAATACTAATGTCATGCAGAGATCATCTTCTTCATCGAATTTCATCCTCAATTTCCAAGTTTTATTATACTATATTTCTATAATGTTTGGGAATTGAAAACATAATAAACAAGGATACATTTAGGGCATGAGAATTGTATTGGTGATAGTAGAAATGCAATACTAAAATGTTTAGTACTCCATATGAAATAAATATGCTATCTCAACAAATTAGAAAAACAAATTTTATTTAAGTACCATTTTAAAAATAATAAATTTTTTAAGGATGACTTAACAAAAAAATATTTTACAAGGACAAGAAATCACCTATTTTACAGAGACCAAAAACATATTTCTTATTTTAAAAAATTTGATGTAAAATAAAAAATATTTTTTAATGCATATATTAAAATTCTATAAAACAGTATTTTTTATATGATCAAGTATTTAAATCAAATTGATTAGAAATAATATTTAATTTGACTTCTACACATTATCTTGCTAATTTGACTTATTACTTTAAACAAGTATTTAAATTATAAACAAATTGATTATTTAAATGATCAAGTAATTAAATCAAATTAATTAGAAATAATATTTAATTTAAATTTTGCACTTTATCTTGCTAATTTGACTTATTATTTTGATCAAAGTAAGTTTATGCTGTAACTTAACGTTTTTCAGTGATGCAACTTAGTAGTTATAAATTTATATTGTGTGATAGTTCACTATATTTATGCATGAAAATAAAAAACTTAGATTAAATATGACTCAATTCCTTTTTTTTAATCATACAAAGAAATTCAACGTAATGATATTTTTAGAGACAAAATGATATAACATTAACTTTCAAAGAAGATTGTTGCAAGGAAAATAAAGATGTATATGTGAGGAAGTGTGTGAAAATCTATGGCAATAAGTTGGTCAAAATGGTTTATAAATAGTTTTTAATTTATAAGTGAGTTTATGACATATTTCTATGTGCTTATAAGCTCACTTATAAACTGCTTATAAACTACAAAAAATAAGTAGGTCTTTGCTACTCAGTTTTAAGCTAGTTTTTTTGTTTCACCTTTTTACCGGATTATTTACAAAATTTACAAAATTTCTCTATCATTTAAGTCATTATACTTCTACGAAAGAGCATTTGACTTATAAACAGCTTATAAGTTAAGAATTGTTTATTAGCAATAAGCCAATAAGTACCAGTACAGAGAAACACCCCCTATGTATTGACAATAATGCTTTCACGAACTTAAATGATTTTGTATTTAAAACAAAAGCAAAAAATTGAATGAAAATTGTGAAATATTTTTTGTAATTTTTTAGAATCATATATAGGACCGCTAATGTTTTTTGCATTGACAATCTTTTTTGAAATAATACAGAGGAGAATAATGACTATTTTTAGTGTATTGTAAAGTTTATATATCGAGCAAGTTTTTCTCTCTAACCATGGGGAAGAGGGGGCGACCGCCAAAAAACGACGGAAAAGCACAGAATGAAAGTAACGCCGACGACATCTACACGGAAAAATGGGAAGAAAAGGTAGCATATCAAACAAGTCCAAACGGAGAAGATGATGAAGGAAAGAACGAAGTTGAGGAAACCCTAATGCTTGAATCAACGACGACTAAAGTACCGGAAATGGAAAAGGCAAAAAGTTATGCAGATGTAGTTGGTATCCAGGAAGACCTCAAATTGGATCTGAAATTTATTCCAGCAGAAATCATCGAAGGAAATCCAGTTGCGAAATTAACAATGGAGGATGTTATTGAACCAGGTATTTACTGGGAATCTGCTCTTGTGTATTGCGTCCTAGGTGCAAATCCCCCATTGGAAGTGATTAAAGGCTTTTTACATCGTATATGGAAATCGTATGATATTGATGATATATCCTTCTTGAAAGAGAGCCAGTTTATTGTGAGATTAAAGAGGGTTGAGGATAGGAATGAGATTATTAAAAGGAAATACTATTTTATGGACAACAAACCTGTGTATGTCCAAGAATGGTACCCTGGATGTAAGGTTAACATTATGGAACGGAAGGATATTCCTATATGGGTACAATTTCCTGATCTTGAGATGAAGTATTGGAGCCTCACTGGACTTAGTAGGCTGGGCAGCACTATAGGACAACCTGTCAGGAGGGATGGAGCAACTGCATCTAGGAAGAAATGGGCATATGCTAGAATCCAAGTAGAGGTGCAAATCAATCAGAAATTCCCTGACCAAATCAATTTCATAAATGAAGATGGAAGGGTCATAACACAGAATGTGATCTATGAATGGACCCCAACCATATGCTCCCACTATAATAGAATTGGGCATGTTATGGAGAAATGCAGGAAGAAATCTGAAACAAAGGGAGAGCATATCAATAGGAGGAAAATGGCATGGAGGCCCAAAGTCATCCCACAAAAAAATGATGCAATACATGAGGAAGAACCAATCTCAGAGGAGGAAAATAAAAAAGCAGATCATGATTCAACACCTATTAATAAGGAGACCAAAAATACAGAAGAACTGGAGAATAATGAAGGATTTACTGAAGTTCATAAAAAGAAGGCTGCAAGGAGAGTGTCATTGGAGGGGGATAGTCAGATTTCAATGGGATGCTACACAGAGATCTCAGCCTAGCTCCATATGAGGGGCATTACCCCTTTTTATTATGATAGGATGCTGGAATATAAGAGGCTTAAACAGCCTCAATAAACAACAGGAAGTAAGTAACTTCATTAATAAGTATAAACTTTCTATTATTGGAATTTTGGAAACCAAAGTTAAGGATGCTAATGTGAGTACAATTGAAGGGAGAATTATAAAAGGGTGGAGCTCCATTATTAATAATAATGTTCACCCACTGGGGAGAATCTGGCTATTATGGGATCAGAATAAAATAAGGATGAGGATTATAGATATCACTGAACAAACCATTCATTGTCAAGTGAAGATCTATAGGGATGATAAGGAGTTTTTCATAACCTTTGTTTATGCACATAATGACAATAACAAAAGGAAGGAACTGTGGACAACCCTACGAAGAAATGCAACATCCACAGCCTAGTGTATTTTAGGAGATTTTAATACCGTGCTCCATCTAGATGAAAGAATTGGGGGAAATCCAGTAGGAAGTGCAGAGGAGAAAGACTTCCAGGAGTGCCTCAATGACTGTGGGATAGAAGATTTACCCTATGAAGGTTCAAAATTCACCTGGACCAAAAATCAAGATATAGGGAAAAGAATTTATTCCAAACTTGATAGAGTGATGGAAAACATTGACTAGATAGTAAACTTTGACATGAAGGTTATCTTTCTAGAAGAAGGAGTCTCTGATCATTCTCCTATGATCATCAAGAACTGCATTCAGAAAGATAGGCACAAGAGCTTTAAGTTCTGTGAAATGTGGACTCTAAATCCACAGTTTCCCGAAATCATTAAGGAAATATGGAAGAAAGATCAGCATGGTATATTCATGTATCAAGTGGTTCAAAAACTAAAACAACTTAAAGAACCATTGAAGAAGTTGAATAGAATGAGATACAGATCTTTGGACACACAAATTGACCAAATCATAACTAAACTGTATGCAATCCAAGGGCATCTAAGGGAGGATGCAAATAACAGAGAGAAGCTGGAAGAGGAAAAAGGCCTGAAGACAGAACTGCACCTGAAACTTAAGGCAAACATGATGATGAAAACCCAGCAAGCCAAAGTGGATTGGATTACACTTGGTGATCAAAATACTAAATTCTTCCATGCATGGCTCAAAAAGAAGAAACTACAAAACCATATCACAGCTATGACCAACGCATGAGGGGAAGTTAAGGAAGGAAAGGAAGAAGTTGCAAAAGTTTTAATAGCCTACTTCCAAAAACAACTGGGTGTGAAGGAGGACACTGATGATATCAAGGTGGATATTGTAAAGATGGGGAACACTTTATCCATTGAACAACAATTGATGTTAATCAAGCCTGTATCTCAGGAGGAAGTAAGAGAGAGCCTATTTAGCATCCGAGTTCACAAAAGCCCATGTCCAGATGAATATGGGAGTGGAATTTTCAAGAGTCAATGGAAGATAATGGGGGATTTGGTCACTAAAGCTATAATGGAGTTCTTTGAGAAAGATGAAACCCTGAAACAAATTAATGCCACTAATATCACAGTCATACCCAAGAAAGAGAATCCCAATAGCCCAGCTGATTTAAGACCAATAGCATGCTGCAATGTACTTTATAAAGCTATATCCAAAATCATATGTGGGAGACTGAAGAAGGTGCTGCCAAGTCTGATTAATTTAAATCAAGGTGCTTTTATTGAAGAAAGGGAACTGGTCCACAACGTTCTATTATGCCAAGAAATGACTAGGGGATATAAAAGGAAAGGTGTATCCCCAAGGTGCCTGATGAAGCTTGATATCCAAAAGGTATATGATAATGTGAGCTGGAAAGCCATTGAACAGATTTTGCAACAATTCAAATTTCCAGCTAAATTCTCCAAGTGGATAAGGTACTGCATATCAACACCTACTTATTCCATCCATTTGGAAGGAGAAAGTTTTGGATATTTTAAAGGAGAAAAGGGCCTGAGACAAGGTGATCCTGTATCACCCCTTCTGTTTGTCCTCATAATGGAATATCTCACAAGAACATTAAACTATTATGCAAGCAAAGAGGGGTTCCACTATCATCCAATGTGCAAGTCCATGAAAATCATCAACTTAGTGTTTGATGATGATCTTATTGTGGCCAGCAAAGCCGAGGAAGGATCTGTAAAGATAATCATGAAGGCACTAGAACACTTTAAAAGTACAACAGGGTTTCAGATGAATCCCTTGAAGTCTGAAATAATATTTGGAGGGGTTAACCAGTCAGTGGAGGAGAAATTACTGCAAATTACCAACATGAGGAAGGGCTCCTTACCTTTCAGATACCTAGGAAGTCCTATTACTTCAGCAAGAATTAGTGACAAAGAATATGACAGGCTAATTGAGAAAATGACAGTAAATATAACAACATGGGCTACCAGACACTTATCATATGCTGGGAAAATTAAACTAATCAACACTGTGTTGTTTGGGATTGTAAATTTCTAGAGCAGGATTTTTCTAATCCCCACTAAAGTGATGAAGAAAATTCAAGCATTTACAGGAATTTTCTATGGAGCTCATATGTGGAACATAAAAGACAACCCCTGGTGGCCTGGGAAGAGGTATGTTTGCCCAAAAAATTTAGTGGATTAGGGATAAAGAACTTAGACCAGTGGAACAAAGCAAGCATCATGAGACTGGTTTATGATATTGAACAACAAAAGGAAAGTCTGTGGATTAAATGGGTACATGGCAGTTATCTGAAGGAGAACACAATCTGGGAGTGTGTAGCCAAGAATGATTCCTGTTTTTATTGGAAAAAACTTCTCAAGATAAGGAGCATATTTGCAGGGATGACAATGAGTGGGCAATATTCCACAGACCAGGGCTACACATGGATCCAAGGGCATCAAAGTGAACCATACTGGACCGCTGCTGTATGGAACAAATATTCCATACCAAAACATAAGATTATTATGTGGCTCATCTGCAAGGATAGATTACAGACAAAGTTGAGACTGAGCAAATTTTTTCCCATTGATACAACTTGTATGTTTTGTGATGAAAAGGAGGACTGTCAACATCTCTTTTGCCAATGCATATATGCTCGAGGGATATATCAGCAGGTATCAGCTAGAAGTGGGTATACAATCCAAGGGGGAACATGGAAAAAGATACTGGAGAACCTTAGTAAGATCAAACCCAATAAACGAAGATGGAAGATGATGGCCTATTTTGCAGCAAGTGTATACGCAATATGGAGGGCCAGGAATTGGAGAATACACAAGAACATTAATATAACAACTGAAGAAGCGACACAATGGATCACTTATCATACTCACACATTCATGCAAGCTAAAGGAGTTCTATAGAGACTAAGTTTTGTTTGTTTTGTTGTCCATCCCTGATGTTTATTTCTACGGATTTTGATGTACAAGGTTTTGTGTTTAATACTATTTTGCATTCGGTTCACAAAAAAAAGTTTATATATCCTATCATAGGATTGCTAATTTATGTTTTTATAGTTTTAATAATGCGGGAGAAAAGAGTCACTTTTTAATCGATGCAAGGGGCCGGGGAGAGGAAGAATCATATTAACGCATGAGAGAAGAATCATATTTTTTTTAATGTGAATTATGTGGCGGAGAAGAATCCTGATTTTTTTGAATCGTAGAACTATAAGACCCAAAATCCGAGTTTTTTAAATAAATGCAGAAGAGAAGAATAATAGAATCACTAATGTTTTTGTAGTCTATTTTTTTGAATTAAGGGGTGAGAAGAATTATATGTGTATAGAAATTTAGGCTCTGTTTCGTTCAACTTATTTTTTCTGATCTGATCTGATCTGATTTTTTGTAGTTCTGATCTGATCGATCTGATCTGATCTGATTGGATCTGATCTGATCTGATCTTATCTGATTGGATCTGATCTGAATAATTATGATTTGATTTAAAATTCAAATCAATAATTTGATTTGAGTTTATAATAATGTTTGAAAATTGTAATGATAATTCGTATTATAATATAATCAATATTTTTTATTTTATAATTATTTTTTAATAAAATAAAATTAGTTAATTTATATATTACAATAATCATTCATATTTTAATGTAATAATATTTTTTATTTTATGATTATTTTTTGTGAAATAAGAATATTGATTTAATATTTTAATAATTAGTTCATACATACATTAAAATAAATATTTAATTTATATAAAATCAATACAGAGAAGAGATATTATTTTTATTAAAATATCTCATCCTTATAAAAGATCAATACTTTAGAAACTCAAATTACAGGTAGTAATAAAAATGTATTTTAAAAGTAGAATTAGATTGACATTGTCAATGTATTTTAAAAATAATTTTTTCGACGTCTAATAATTTAAGGATTAATTTCTCAATTTTCTATTTAACTTGTTTCTAAAGTTTATTCTTATTTTTAAAATTAATAATAATAATAATAATAATAATAATAATAATAATAATAATAATAATAATAATTCTTTATGGGATCTGATTTGGTCTGGTCTGATCTGATTGGATCTGATCTAATCTGATTAGATCTGGTCTGATCTGATTGGATCTGATCTGATTTGTTCTGATCTGATCTGTTCTGATTCGATCTGATCTGATCCGATCTGATTTTAATAAGAATAAGAAAAAATAAGTTGAACTGAACAAGGCCTTACTCCATATAAAAGAAAGAGCGCTAAGATAATACTTCCTCCGTTTTCAAAAACACTTTCTCTTTCATTTTTTTCACTTCCAACAAAACACTTCCACTTTCTATTAAAAAATCACTTTACCTTTACTTTTTCATACCCTACATATCACATCATACTTTATCTCTAATAATCTATTGATCACATTTTACTTTTACCTATCACATCAAGAGTAAAATTAGAAATCAACTACAATTTTATACACCGTATTTTCTTATTTTTACACAAAATCAAAAGAGAAACACTTTTTTCGAAGGAAGAGACTATTTGATAGGGATAAGGAAATGTTATGGATTACTTTGGAGTTTCGATCCAAGTTCCCACGTACGTACGTGTACCTTCATTGAATAAGGAATTGCCAGGTGGACCAAAAATGCCAAGCCGAGTAATTGACAAAATGTCTTTTTTTTTTAATTTTATGTCGTCATCTGTCACCCCTATGGCGTCATCCTCGTCTCATCTGCCGCAGCATAAAAAGCTCATGACCTTTGTAATGTTGTATACGGAGTAATACATTAATGGATCAATATTAAACGAACCTGCAATTAATTAAGCTATTATTATATATATGGAGCTCATGCCGGAAGACTGCATGGTCGAAATCCTGTCCCGGGTCCCGCCCCGCCTTGCCTGCCGGTCGTCGCTAGTGTCAACCGCCGTTCGCAACGCCGTGGAGTCGGAGGTGCTGTGGAATGCGTTTCTGCCGTCCGATTACCCGGAGATTTTGCTCCGGTCAGTGTCGCCTCCGGTGAGGGTATTCCGGTCCAAGAAAGAGTTGTTTGTCAAGCTTTTGAGCCCCATTCTCATTGACGGAGGCCATAAGGTAGTAGTTCTAATTACTCCCTTCTCCCTAAAACCTAACATTGACAATGTTTGATTTTTTTAGTCAAACTAACTCTGGCGCTCTTTGACATTGAATTATGGATATATATATATATATATATATATATATATATATATATATATATATATATATATATATATATATATATATATATATATATATATATATATATATGAAATATTTGCACTAAATAACATTAAAGCTTAAATCATTTTCCAAAATAGCACCTAATTATGTTTAATTATATTTAATTTGTGGAGAAAGTAATTAATCAATGTTTGATACTCCCCCGTCCCATGAAACATGAGATGTTTTGCTTTTTGAAGAGATTTAAGGGAGTGTATTTTGGTATTGAATTTCCAAAAATGTTCTTTGATGTGATGGGTAAAAGTAGGATTTGATGGGTAGATTATTAGTAAAAAGGTATGATGTGATAGGTAGGGTATGAAAAAATAAGGGATAAAAATGACTTTTTAATAGAAATAAGAAGTGTTTTATGGGACGAATGAAAAAAGAAAGAAGAAAATTTTTATGGGACGGAGTGAGTATATTTTATCGTTTGATTATTAAGCAATTTGCATGATATATATATACATGCAGACGTTTTGGATAGACAGAGAAAGCAGCAAGAAATGTTACACGTTGAGTGCGAGGGAACTTTCTATTGCCTTTTCGAGTAATGCCCTCTATTGGTGCTGGAAACCCCTCTTTGGTTCTAGGTAAATTAATTTCATTGGAACTTTAACACTATGTTTTTTTCAAAGAATTTTAAAGGTAAAAGAAAAGAAATTGTAATGAAAAACACTTTTTCTTGTTTAATTAGAGAAGAAAAGAAATAAAAAGTGAAAGGAAAACCAAAATGAGAAGTTAAATGTATTAAGTGAAAGGAAAACCAAATTCCTCCCATTGAGATAAAATAATTTTCTTTTCTTTCCATTTCAAATTCTTTGAACCAAACAAAGTGTAAAGTTAGATATTAGAAGAAATTGGAAGGGTTATAAGAAACTGGAAATAGTTGAAAAAACTTAAGGATTTTGAAAATATTATTGGAAAAATAAAAATAAAGTATTAAAAATATCATTCAATTAAATGAACATCAAATAAATATGTAAGAAAATTATTTTTGTAGAAAAAAAATTTCATCTTTGTCCGTGTTTTGAGGTGGTGTGTTTCTCAGTCCCGCAAAGCATTTTATATATTTTAACTTTTGGAAAAGAAGGTCGTAGAAGTTTGACCGCGATTAAACGAAGGCAATTAAAATGAGTGCGTACTGCTTGAGAATTGTCAAAATTGGTAGAGAATGGTAGCAAAGACAGTTGTGGTAGGTTTGGTTAGATTTTAGAAAAGTAAGGGTAATTATGTCCATTTAGGCTAAATTGAAATATTTTATGAGACATGTAAGGTGTAAAGGTTGGAAAGTTTTACTGAACGAGGAGAGTAATATTTGTTAGTCATTCTTTAAAGAAATTAGAAAGAGTTGGAAGAAGCATAAGGAATTAGAATTGAAAATGTTGGACCGGATATATATCGACCTAGACAAAGGACTGGGTCAAGGGGTAAACGATTGAATTGTGGTCAACCCGGGTCAACGACCTGAACACCCGGTCAACGTATCCGTACATATTCCGACTACGTAATGTATTTTTAAATACTCTGTACCATGTAATATTTCAAACTAATATTTAATTTACTGAATAAGAAAATAATAAAGTAAAAATAATTAAATTGTAGCATATATATTAAATTATACTCCGTAATTAGTAAATATACTCAGGTGTATTACTAAATAATTACTTGATTTTTAAAGATGATAAAAAAACTTTGAGATATAAATGATTCACATTTATTTTTAAATAAAAAAACAAATAGTGCTTTTTTTCTTTAAATTACTCCGTTTTTAAAATGTTTATAAAATAAGAACTTCAACGAAATAAGTATAAATTAAAGCTGCATGAAACTATGAATGAATGGTTCGTTGTTCACTTGGTTGAGTTGCATGGTCCCAAGGTTTAATTTGTAGTATGTGGGTTGAGACACACAGATGTTTTTTTTCAGATTTTAAATTGGCTCAAGCCTAGCCATGAACCGCCCAGACTTACTCAGGTGGACGGTTTCGGTGGGTTTCTCGATTTTTAAGAAAGCGGATTTCTCGATTAGACTGGACCAGAAGCGTATGCGGGTCACGGTCTAATCCGTTGGACCGGGCAGTCCAGCCTGAGTCTGATAACACTGGCTAAAATGACATGTCCTAAATTCACCAGATAAAAGATCGAGTAGATTAATATTAAAGAAATCACCTTAAATAGGAGTAAAAGAACATAGAGAAAGTACCAAAATAGGATGCAGGAGTTCTATATTTTTATTCCTTAATTAAGAGTTCGCACTGTGGTAAATGGTAATGTCGCACTGTACATAGAAATTTTACTATACTTTTTAGTAATGTACAAGGTCATGATTGATAATGCAAATGTAATTTAACTTCTATTTTTGAAATAAAAATATGAAATTCCTATTTTGGTATATTTTCAATGTTTTACTCCTACTTTATTCCTTTTCCCTAAATATTACTCCCTCCATCTCAATTTAATCTTCTAACTAACTTAACTTTTCTTAATTTAAATTTGTAAACTTTGTAATATCATTAGTTTCCTTTTAAAACATAATTTTGAAATATTTAAGTTTTACAAAATATATCTATGTATAAATATCAATATTAATGAACAAATTAACATGTTAAAAACCATAAAAATTAAGCTAGAAGATTATATCTGAGTGGAGGAAGTTTACTATACTCGGCAAGATTAAATATCATCATCTTAACAACTTTTTTCATGTTTCCATTTACAAAGTTTATTTAACAATATTTTTTTTACAATATATACTTTGGCACTATATGGCGTTGTATAGAATATAATCAAACAATAGTTGCAAGTTGCAACTAGTGTCAAAAGTCTTGTTTTAGCTTGATTATATTGCCTACTCTAACAACACAATTGTAAGCAAACAAAACTCCGTAATGTACATGCGGAGTATAATGACACTAAAATTTATTATTAAAATTTCGGTGGACCTCGAACAATGGATGGAGCGCCAGGTAAAATTAACCATTTGCATATAAAGTCAGAATATACTATTCTAACCCAAAAACTTAAACTAATAGATAGGGCTTCACCCTTCTATATATACTAGTGGTATTCATCTTTATTTTTCCAATGTGGGAACTCCTACACTTTTTCTCAAGTGGTGACTAACCTGACCTAGTTAGCACTTGCACAAACGGGTCTAGCATATTAATCTCTTATAGCTAGCCACACAACGGGCGGTGGCATCTCAATCTCTTTTTAGCCAACTCAACTCAAACCACGGACGTGTAGTTTTTTTGCTAACCCCACATCCAACAATCAGGAAGATTCAAACCTAGACCGGATCTGCTCTGATACCATGTTAAAATTTCGGTGGGCTGAGAACAACGAGTGGAGTGTCAGGTAAAATTAATCACTTGCATTTAAAGTTGGGATCAACTATTCTAACCCAAAAACTTAAGGTGCTAATAGGGCTTCGACCTTGTATATATGCTATTGATATTCATTTTTATTTTTCCGATTTGAGAACATCAACATTTATAGTTCATGCATCGATCCCATGATCGATTTAATTTTTAACCTGCAGGTTTCCAGAAATTGTGGAGCTTGTAATGATATGTTGGCTAGAAATGACCGGGAAGATGAAGACTCGCATGTTGTCCCCACACACAACCTACGTGGCTTACTTCGTTTTCAAGCTTGCGGGTCGGGCATTCGGCTTGGACTCCCTACCCTCCGAGATAACAATCAAGGTCGGGGGTTACGAGTCGCGCAAAATTGCGTACTTGCGTCGCAAGCCGGACGCAAAACAAGCGTTACTCGAATGCATTTTCTTGCAGAACAGTATGGAGATTTTAAGGTCGCGACTTGAAGAGGGACAAGAGTGTGTGGTTCGTGAGCGCAGGGACGGGTGGCTCGAGATTGAGTTGGGAGAGTTTTATAACGACAATCAAAACGATGATAACAAGGAGGTTGAGATGTGTGTGAGGGAGGTTAAAGGTGGGCATCTTAAGGGAGGACTCATTGTTGAGGGCTTTGAGCTTAGACCCAAGTAGCTAGGAACATTAAGAAATTGTTTATGGTTTATCAAAATGATTGTTTTGAAAATAAACTTACTATGGACTTGTTTGGTGAGAAAAAATATGAGTTTTAATATTTTAGACACGACAAACTTTCCAAAGTATATGTTTGGAGAACATAAAAAAGAATTCAGGATTCAAATGTGAAGATGTGAAAATTCTCCCAAAAGATCGTGTCTCCCTCCATAAACGCCGATTTCAATCCTTCCTTCATTCGCGTTACCTCTCCTCTATCAAAGTTTGATTTCACTCAATTTTTTGGAGTAAATTTCTTCATAAATTGTCTCCAATTATATATAATTGTTCATATTTAATCTCTGATTTTTAGATATTTCATAAATGATACTCAATTTTGGAAAACTTCATAAACAGTTCTTTAGGCCAAATATGAGAAAATATTTTTTCAACAAATAGTCTGTGAAGGGTTGATTATCGAATAATTTTCAAAAATTGAGTACTATTTATGGAATATCTAAGAACTGGAAACTAAATATAGAAAATCATCTATAATTTGTGATCATTTATGAAATTTACTCTTTTTTTATTAGATTGATTTTATTTGTTCAAATTTTTTGGCTTTTTGGTCTTTTCTTTTTGTTGTTTAAATTACAACTTTTTAAATGAAATTTAGGCTGCTTTTTTCATTCAAATTTTTTTTCACTAATATTTTCTCCTCATTTTGGTTGTTCCGGATTTTGAGTGTACTTTTAGCAAAAAAAATTGAAATCTTTAGAGCATGAATAATGATAAGGTATATATTGGAATGCCACACGCTGACATGGCACGGTTGACCCAATCAAAACCAATTTAGTCACACGGTGGCATGACATTAGAGTGGTATATCCTGTAGTGGCAAGTCACCTTTTTTTTGTCTTACTTTCCATTTTTGACATATTTTTGACATTCTTTTATAAACTAAAAAATGAAATAATGATGAAACATATTGTGTGGACTAAATAACGAGGCATTCAAGAGCTCTTATTCTGGATCATCTTTTATCATTTTGTCGAACAATTTGTATGCACTAGGATAAAATTTATTTTCATTGATTTAGGGCAAAGAGAAGGGGTGATGAGATTGACGATGAGAATGGGGCAGAGAGAAGAGGCAAATTTCAGAGCAATCAAACAAGAGATGAGTAGCAGAGGGTACCTGAGAGTCCGACGAGGTGGCCGGCGATGGTGGCAAAAGCGGACCTGACTTCCAAAGAGGGGTGCCGCTGGTGATTTCCGCAGAGGATAGAGATGAGAAGCGGACGGATTATTTCCCAAATGCTTTGGTCGGTGCTCCTATTTGCCTCGCATTCGCCTCGCAAATCAGAGTGGCTCGCGGCATGCCACGCGATCCAATTTTTGTCACTCCCATTGTGTCTCTTGGATCTCCACAGATGGTAGGGCGTGGCAAGACAAATCCTTGCCGCTGCCAATGCTCTAACACTTGCATTTTATCTCTTAACTGCTGACTAAACCCTTGGGTTGAATATCACTTGCATATATTGAAGGGTGAAGCCCTACCTATCAGCTTAAGCTTTTGGGTTAGAATTGTGGATCCCGACTTTATATGCAAGTGGTTAATTTTACCCGACACTCTATCTGTTGTTCTCGGCCCACCGGAATTTTAATATGGTATCGGAGCAGGTCCAGTCCGGGTTTGATTGTTCCTGGTTGTTTAGATGTGGGTTTAGCAAAAATGAGCTACCCGTATGTGGTTTGGGCTGAGTTGGCTAAAAAGAGATTGAGATGCCACCTCCAGTTGTGTGGGCTAGCTATAAGAGATTGAGATGCTAGACCCGTTTGTCCAAGTGCTAACTGGGCCAGGCTAGTTACCACTTGCGGGGGAGTGTTGGAGTTCCCACATCGGAAAATAAAGATGAGTATCACTTGCATATATTGAAGGGTGAAGCCCTACCTATCAGCTTAAGCTTTTGGGTTAGAATTGTGGATCCCGACTTTATATGCAAGTGGTTAATTTTACCCGGCACTGTATTCGTTGTTCTCGGCCCACCGGAATTTTAACACTGTGACTTAATTTCAAATGTGTTTTCTCCAGACATTTATATTTGATATTTCAAAACTCATATAATTTAGTTTAGATTTCAGAACTCATATTTTATTATATTTTCAAACCTCACCAAATGAACCCTAATATATATTATCATTGTGTTCCAAAAGTATGTATTGATAAATATGGAGTAGCAATGGCATGAGGGTAGAAAATGTTACTCTCTCGTCCCAAATTAGATTATTTTCAATTAATTTTTAATTTATTTATAAAAAAATTGGTGTTGAATCTAAAAATAAAATTCAAATAGTGATATTACTATATTATTTTATCAAATGAATATTGAAATTGGATCATTAAAGTGATTAAAGTTTGAACTTATGAATAATAAACATGCAATTTAAATTAGGACGGATAGAATACCTGTTAAAGTATCTCGCAACCGAAGTTCAAAAAGAAAGTTACATAATGAGTATATAAGCTTTTGAGTAGAATTATAATTAACTGAATCAAATCAATTACTTAGTTCAACTCAGATACTTATATATTTACTATTCACACTTTTTTCAAATTTTTGAAGTGAAATACTTAAGCACTTCCACTCAAGTGGACAATTGAGTCGTTTTGGACATAACTATCTAACCACTTACAAATTGACCCCTTGAAAAGAACATTTGAGCAACAAGATCCAAGGGACTTAGAGTCGCTGGGTTTGAAGTTTATCGGCTTCTAGACAAGCAATACAATCGAGTTAAATGAGTTGCATGTCGTTAGATATGTTTTGCATACGGATACATACTCAAGGACGAAATTAAGAGTAGAATGTTCTAGACAAAGAAAAAAACTTAAAGTTTTGCCAAAAATAGTGCTACTCCTAAGAGCAATGGGGGCATGGGCGGGGCGGTCGGCGGTTTCGCATTGCAGAAAGGAAGTTGCGGCGCACGTCAGGCGCCAGGCGAGGACGTCAACTCTATAAATTCATCTCTTCTCTAATTTTAATTTATCCTACATTCAATCTCATCTCACTCTCCTTTTTAATTTATTCTCAACTCTCTCATTCACTCTTAAAAAATAGTACTCCAACCAACATTGTATTTTTATTTTATTTTTGTGTTTTTTAACAAAGAGTGTCGTTATTTATATTTCTATTTTAATAATATGTATTTTTTTCTTTATATACGTTATTAATTAAAAAATATGGAATAATATAAAAAGCAAAGGGGCGGTACGAGAGGGTGATATCATTACAGGTGTTTTAGGAATAGGCTAAAAAAGAAAAGAATAATAATATGCAAGGATTGGGATGGGGCGAGAGTTCGCTCCATTGTAAATGAAGAAATCTCCCTAGATATAAATAAAAAAGTTTGAAAATACCAAAATAGGGGTACTAAATCTTGTAAGACCAAATTAGGAATGTAATGACAGTGTGGTGTAAGAGTACGCGTTGACAATGTGATGGAAAAGTAATAACAGTGTAATATATTAGTGTGATCGGTCAATCGTCAGTGACCTGTGATAGCACTCTCGTGGCCGATGGTTATAGATGGCAGTGTGGTGACCATATTAATTGTGACAGTTACAATGTGACAATGTGATGAGTTTGGCAGTGTAACAAAGCACTGTGAACTCTTATTTTGGTGTTAAAAAATTTATTACTCATATTTTGATATTTTCATAATTTCTTATTCCTATTTAAGTAGTTTTCCCTTGTAAATGCTCTAAACACAAAAAAGGAGGGAGATTGGAGAGTATACCTTTGGATTTTGCTAGGGGTACCCCACCCTGTGTATACCAAGTGTACATCAAACATGTAACACATACGAACATAAATTGTACTCCCTCCGTCCCAAAAAGAATTTCTTACTTTGATTAACGTGCAAAACCTCGTAAATTTTAAAATGATTTTATTTGCAAATTTGTAAGGAAATAACTCCTCCGTCCCAAAAAGAATTTATTACTTTGATTAACGTGCAAAACCTCGTGAATTTTAAAATGATTTTATTTTCAAATTTGTAAGGAAATAACCCATAAAAAATTATATTTAAAAACTACATCAAAAACTTTACAAAATAAGAGGTGACAAGAGTATTTTATTTTATCAAATGATCAATGAAAACATGCAAACAAATAAGAGTTACCCGAAAAGCCGTAATAGTAAATATGAAAGACTCTTTAGATTTTTTCTTTTACCTTTTCTTCCGATAAAAAAAGATAAATTTAGAAAGTGGAGTAAAAGAATTTTGATTATCACTTTCCAACTTACCATTGTTCTCGCGTTGGAAGAGAATTAAAAGTCTTCATATTCTTCTGCAAAAGTCTTGACGACGCACTGTTTCTCTCCATCGCTCTTCTGCTGCTTTTCCTTCACGTTTTTGATCAAATGGCCTCCAGTACCGGCGTCGGAGACGGCGGATGCCCGACTCTGGAATCAGTCCGGAAGAGCCTGGTCCGACAGGAGGACACCATCGTTTTCTGCCTCATCGAGAGAGCCAAATTCCCGACCAATTCGCCGCTGTACGATGAACAGTCATCGTCTTCTTCGCCTGCTTCCCGGGTTCCGATGTGGCCCGGTTCCATGTTCGAGTACATCGTCAGAGAAACCGAAGCTCTTCAATCGAAGGTGCAATTTCTTCTCCCTCTGATGCTATTCTCATTTGTACTAGGAAAAATAAGATTTTAGATTTCCATTAGAGGATAACTCAAATTAAGTTTTTATGGCCAAATTAATTACTTGATGTGTCGAAATATTGGAATAATAATATTGCTCTTTGAATTATGAAGTACATGATAGAGTATATATAGAAAAGACTCCTAACACAACTAGGAATAGAGAATGGAAACTAACTAAAATACAACTTCTACCATAACTAGAAATACTTAATATTATTGTCTAACATTCCCCCTCAAGCTGAACTCTGGCTGAAGCAAGAGGAAGCTTGGACACTAGCCGGAAACTGAAAATTTTGAGAAGAGAGAAGTCTGACGTGTGTCGGTGGCTGCTGACGTCGTTGGAGAAGAGAGAAGTCTGACGTGCGCTGGTAGCTGCAGACATCGTTGAAGAAGAGAGAATTTGATGTGCGCTTGTAGCTGCTAACGTCGAAGAAGAAGAGAGAAGGTTGATGTGCGCTTGTAGCTGCTGACGTCGAAGAAGAATAGAGAAGGCTACTTGAAGTGCCTGTTTGACTGAAGATCTTTGACATTCTATGTCTTTTTCTTGGATCCGGGCAATGCCCTATTTCCTTCTTGAAGGGGTGAGTTGTAGAGGTCTTCTTTCCTCTTTCACTACTTCCCCTCTTGGCTTTGTTTTTGTGCTGATTTACTTTAAATTTTTGTTGGTTGAACAGAAGAGAAAAAGAAGGGAGATTGATGATTAGAATGAGTGATTTGAGAGAGAAAAAAGTGGGTTAAGAATTTTGATGGAAAAAGAATTTGGGTCTTAGATTTTGATATGGTGAATTAGAGAGAAACAACAATATTTTTTTTTCTTTTTTTTTGAGAAGATAGGATGATCTGAGAGAATTTGTGAGGAATTGGGGTTTTTTTTTGAAGAACCATGGAGATGATAAGAGATAAGTTCCTCCTTTGATAGTTTTTTTGTGTGATTTCAACAAGGGTTTTTTTCTTCTTTTTTTCATTTGAGTGGAGAAGTTGATTTGAGGATAAAGAAGGAAAAGAAAATAGAGCTAAGGTGAACAGGGTGGAGCCGCCGTCGCCGGAATTACCGGCGGCAGCGGCGGGAGCAAAGAACCCTTTTTTTAGGTCACCAAGAGCGGTGGCTTTGATACCATGTTGAAATATTGGAATAATAATATTGCTCTTTGAATTATGAAGTACATGATAGAGTATATATAGGAGAGACTTCTAACACAACTAGGAATAGAAAATAGAAGCTAACTAACATACAACATCTACCATAAATAGGAATAGGAAGTTGACTAAAATACAAATACTACCATAACCAATACTACCAGAAATAATATTACATCCCCCCTCAAGCAGAACTCTGGCTGAAGCAAGAGGAAGCTTGGAAACTTGCTGGAAACTGGAAACTTTGAGAAAAAAGAAGTCTGACGTGCGCCGGTGGTTGCTAACGTCGTTATAAAAGAGAGAAGTTTGACGTGCGCCGGTTGCTGCTGACGTCGTTGGAGAAGAGAGAAGTTCGACATGCGCCGGTGGCTGCTGACATCATTGGAGAAGAGAGAAAGAGTTGACGTGCGCTTGTGGGAACTTGTCGCCAATTTCATGCTTCCATATCAGGCCGCACCAAGCCTTGAAAGACTTGCCTGAGGCTTCAAGAGACCGGGTTGACCATCTCCCCGAAAAGGTAATAGCAGAAGACTTGTATGTGCTGCTGGACTCAACACACATGATCCTAGGGCAGTTCCCTATCCTTATCTGGAGCCACCAAGTGGATGGTCACCGACAGCATAAAGTGGTTGTGTGCTGGGACATGCCCTTTCATAGTTCTAGCCTCTTGCAAAAGCTTCTGGGGTGTCTTTTTTATTCATGATGAAGGCCTTTGGTGTTAACTTGCAAAGGGCATCCAGCAGGTTCCCATGGTTTTCATTACTAATGAAAGTTCAAGTAGCTGCTGACGTCGAAGAAGAACAGAAGAGCTATTGGAGGTGTCTGTTTGATTGAAGATCCTTGACATTCTTTGTCTTTTTTTTTATCCGGGCAATGCCCTGTTTCTATTTCACAATTGTGAGAATTTTGTATGTCTTTTTTGAAGGGGTGAGTTTTGAGGTTTTCCATCCTCTTTCTCTATTTTCTCTCTTGGCCTTACTTTTATTTTGATTTACTTTGGGGTTTTGATTGTTTCAACAGAAGAGAAAAAAGAAGGGAGATTGATGATTAGAATGAGTGATTTGAGAGAGAGAAAGGTGGATTAAAAATTGGCGATGGAGAAAAGATTTGGGTTTGAGATTCCCGGTGTGGATCGGAGAATTGGAGAGCAACCACTATCATTTTTTCCTTTTTTTTTGAGAAGATAGGATGAGTTGAGAGAGTTTGTGAGAAGTTGGTTTTTTTTTGAAGAACAATGGAGGTGACAAGAGAGAAGTTTCTCCTTTGACGATTATTTTTGTGATTTCAACACGTGATTTTTTTCCTTTTTGTTTGGAAAGGAGAAATTAATTCGATGATAAAAAAGGAAAAGAAAATAGAGATAAATGAAGTGGTACCGCCGTCGCCAGAATTACCGGCAACGGCGGTGGAAGCAAAGAACTCTTTTAGGTCACCAAGAGCGGTGACTCTGATACCATGAAAGATTAATGATTAGAATGAGTGATTTGAGAGAGAAAAAAGTGGATTAAGAATTGGTGAAGGAAAAAAGATTTGGGGTTTGAGATTTTGATATGGTGAATTGGAGAGCAACTATCATTTTTTTTTCTTTTTTGAGAAGAAAGGATTAGTTGAGAGAGTTTGTGAGGAGTTGAGTTTTTTTTGTATGATTTCAACAAGGTTGCTTTCCTTTTTTCGTTTGAATGGAGACGTTGATTTGACGATAAAAGAAGGAAAAGAAAATAGAGGTGAATAGGGTGAAGCCGTCGTCGCCGGAATTACCGGCGGCGGCGGTGGAGCAAAGAACTCTTTTAGGTCACCAAGAGCGGTGGCTCCGATACCATGTCGAAATATTGGAATAATAATATTGCTCTTTGAATTATGAAGTACATGATAGATTATATATAGAAAAGACTCCTAACACAACTAGGAATAGAGAATGGAAACTAACTAAAATACAACTTCTACCACAACTAGGAATACTTAATATTATTGTCTAACATGATGTTTGTTGTTTCAATATATAACCAAATATAGGGAGAAAGACTAAAGTAGGACTAAAACATTGAAAATATACCAAGACTTCAATGTTTTTATTCCCGAAATAGGACTTACATTACCATACATGGTCATATACATTACCAAAAAAGCATAGTAATTTGCACATGTACACTGTCACATTACAACAGGGCAAAGTCACATTACCACACTGCAAAGTCCTATTTCGGGAAAAAAAACATGAAAGTCCTATTTTGGTACTTTTCTCTATGTTTTAGTCTTATTTAGGGTGATTTCTAAATATCAGGAGCAATGATATTTTTTAGTAATTCTCAATAGGACTAAAACATAGAGAAAACTACCAAAAAAAATAGACTTTCATGTTTTTTCCCGAAATAAGACTCACACTGTGGTAATGGTAACGTGACACTGTACATGTGTACATTACTACACTTTTTGGTAATGTACATATTCATATTTGGTAATGTAAATGCATATTAAGTCCTATTTCGAGAATAAAAACATGGAAGTCCTATTTTGGTAATTTTTCAATGTTTTAGTCCTACTTTGGTCTTTTTCCCTTCTCAAAAATTTTATCATCCAAATAGATTATCTTGACAAGTAATTTTAGACATCTCAAAAAGAAAAGATGGACCATTACATTTATCCCAAACAAGTTTGGTGGGTTAAATTTAGTTAAAGAATCCATTTAATTTTTAAAATTTAGCTACATTTGATGGTTTCTAATAGCTTGCACCTTACTAAAAAATAAAAAAATGTGAATTCCTGACACAAAGAAAATAGAAAAATAAAGCTTTGTAGTGTAGAAGAAGATGCATTATTCCCTTGCATTCAATGAACGTCTGGAGATCTAAGATTTTAGTAGTTAGGTAGACTTGGACCTTATATTGTAATTTTGCTGGTTTATTTTTACTTTAGTTTTAGCTTGTGTTGGTGCAGTTTTATCTTAGACTCACTTCTGCATGTGCCCTTTTTGTGCTTTGGGTCTAGTTTTAATGACGGTATGTCGGTATATATGCTTCGTGTCTAGGTACCCTTATTTTGTTCATGCTACCATGCTTACTTTGTTTGTGCCCTTATGTTTGAGGTTGCATTCCGTTCGCCTAATCTGATCTGATTTTTTGATGATCTAATTAGATTTTTTAAAAATCTAATTTGATCTGATTGTAGTTATATAGCTATTTTTTATCTACTAATTTGGCCTGATTTTAATAAGAATAAGTAATAAGCTGAAAAAATAAGTTGAACGGAACGGACCCTGAGTCAAGTGTCTCTTGAAAACAGCCCCTCACTTTTCGAGTAGAAGTAAGGTATGTGTACGCACACTCTCTTTAAACCGCACTTTTTATGGAAAATTTACAGAGTCTGTTGCTGTTGACCACTTGTTGTATTCATTGAAATATTGATTGAGGTTTACCTGAACAGGTCGGAAGATATCTATCCCGAGAGGAAAATCCCTTCTTCCCCAATGACATCCCATCCCCATTTGTGCCATCTAGAGAGCATACACTGGTATATATGCTAATATCCACTCCCTCCTTCCCATACATATTTTCCCACTTCGATTAGCAGCATATTTAGGATAGCTAATATTTTTTGTTTACTTTTTAAGTTTGCCCCTACATTAACTCTTTCATCCTCGCAAAAACAGGGGTGTTTAAGTCTTTGTATTCTACTGCCAACTGTCATCCGTAAAAGAAAAAATAAGAATTTATTTGGTAGGGGGAACAAAGGAAGTTATGAATTAAGAATATTGTTTCTTCAACTAATGGAGCTAAAAGAGTTAGTATTGACAACGATTTAGTTCTCGGGAACATAATGACAAATTAAACTTTTCTTGCTTCTCAATTCATATGATGTTTTTGGGCAGTATATGCAGCAATGCATCTAGTCCTCTAGGGTCTAACGGAAACAGTCTTTCTTTGTTTATAAGACTATGTACATCTTTACCCAGACTTCAACAATGCTGGAATTATGTTGGGTTGTTGTTGTTTCTTGAACTAATGACACAGTAGTAGTTCTTGCATCCAGTGGCAGATTCTGTGAATGTCAATGAGAAAGTGTGGGATCTGTATTTGAATCAGTTGCTGCCGCTTCTTGCGGTTAAGGGTGACGATGGTAACTATGTGCCCACTGCTTCCGCTGACATACATTGCTTGCAGGTAAGAAACTAAGGGCCTGTTTGGTAAGCGCTGAAATGGTCGAATGAGTTGTTTGAAAGGGAAAAAAATGTTCTTTTGTTTATATTTGGATGGATGCAGGCACTGTCTCGGAGGATACATTATGGGAAATTTGTTGCCGAGGTTAAGTTCAGGGAAGCTCCTCATGATTATACGCCTGCTATTATTGCCCAGGTATTTTCAAATGAAAAACAAACATCATTCAACTAGACCATAACCAACACGAGTCCAATCTATCTGTTAGTCTAATTGGAGTGCTTTTATATATGTCTTTCTTTAATGATAAAATTCATCATTGGGACATTGTGACTTGGGCTCTTTTTCTTTTTCCTTGGAGTCTATATCCTGAAACCCCTGGAAACTATATTAATTATACTACTCCATATAAAGTTAAAATAGATTTTAGCTAGAAACTGGTAACTGAAATCTGGAACTAAGGTCTGTTACTGGAATTTTGAAATCAAGATAATTGGACTAAACTTTGAATCCAATCTCTCAAAATCTCAAATAATGTGATTTCAAACAATGTAAAGTCATGTGCAGGATAGGGAAGCTCTGATGAAGCTTTTGACATTTGAAGCTGTTGAAGAGATGGTGAAGAAGAGGGTAGAGAAGAAAGGCATGGAGTTCAGCAAAGAGGTTACCGTTAATGGTGGCGGCGCAGTATCAACCTGCAAGATTGACCCGTCGTTGCTCTCTCGGCTTTATGGAGAATGGGTCATCCCTCTAACCAAGCTAGTTGAAGTTGAGTACCTTTTGAGAAGGCTTGATTGAAGACCCCTAGGGAAACTATCAAGTCCCAAATGTTTTAGGGGATATTTGGCAAAGTCATTGTTAGCTGTTTGTTGGTTGGGTTTACTCTTTGAATTGGCGGTTTGCCATGGCTGTTTAACTTGGTTGTTTATAGAGGTTAATCTACTTGAATTAATAACTCCCTCCGTTCCAAAATAAGTTGCTTGTTAAATGTCAAATCTTATTGTATAGAGTTTTTTTTATGTAGTTTTTTAATACTCCCTCCGTCCATGTAAGATGTTCCCAATTTGACTTTTCACGGTTTTTAGGAGTGTTAAAAAGACTCTTGACTTTCCCATTATGCCCCTACTTGCTCTGCCACTTCACCCGATCTGTTACTGCTTTGTTACCAGTTACCACCGCACATAACCTCTCCCACCACCGCCGCTGCTACTACCACTGCCTCCCCCCCCCCCCCCCCCCCCCCCCCCCCCCCCCCCCCCCCCCCCACTATCACAGCCAGTCCGCCACCATCACCCTGGTCCTCACAATCATCGTCAATCCCACCACCACCTCCGGTCTCACCATCGCCGTGATCATAGTCTAGATCTAGAACATAGATGGAGGAAAAAGAAGGGGGGAGAGAAGAAGAGAAGAAATATAGATCTAGACTCATCGCCGCCGCCGCCTTCATCCCCACCATCGTCGCCGCCATCTTCATCCCTCCATTGCCACCGCCGTCTTCAGCCCTGCAATCGCCGCCACTGCCCTTACCCCACCATCGCAGATCTAGATGGCGAAGAAGAAGAAGAAGAATACGGAGGAGAAGAAGACGAAAGAGAAGAAAGGAGAAAAAGAAGAAAAACAAAGAAAAGAAGAAAAGAAGAAGAAAGGGAGAGAGGAAGAAATCTGGTAGCGGAGAAGAATGGGGGGTCGGGGGAGAAAGAAACAAAGAAAGAAAGAAAAAAGTAGTGGCGGACGAAAGATGGAGAGAAAAAAGAAAGAGAAATAGAAGAGGGCTATTTAGGGTATTTTGTGTGTTAAAATGTGTAACGAGAAGTTCTATGGCGGACAAATAAAAAGGGGAAATGAGAAGATCTATGAGGGACGGTGGGAGTATGTAAGTTTATCTTTTAATTCTGCTTTAATTCTCTAATAAATTGCATTAAAAGTAACTATAGTCAAATATCGTAAATCGAAATAGACAATTTAATTTAGAACGAAGGCAGTAACAACTATTGGGATAAAAGACTGTAAGGGAATACGACACATTAAGTAATACGCAGCATTGTTTTTAGAGTTGCAAGAGTGTGATCTTCTCTACATGCCAAGATCATGTATTTATATGAATCTATAGACCATTCATCGGTGGAAACTTTTCTTTCGCATCTCAAGGAGTTGGGATATGGAAATAGGGGTGGCAATCGGTCGAATTTTGGTCGGGTGGAGCTTCAATTTTAAGTTTAGGTATAANCTCTGCGTTGGTAGTTTTGAACATATTAAGTGGTAAACTTCGATTCATGGCAACAACTATGCAAGGCTCGACGATTTATCTCATTTGGTATTGATCATTCTCTATTTAACCTTATGTAAATTGCTAGCCCTTGGTATTTATATCTTTCGTTGCTTTAGTGAGTTTAAGGTAGGAAGTGAAAGTGTGATTCACTAGAGATGACAACCTTGAGTAAATTGGCTTGGACCATGCTATGTCAATGTACCAAAGTGATTCACTAGCAGGTCTCAAAGATTAAGGGCACGAAAAATAAGCCTATGCCATGGATGAATTGAGGAAAGAGTAAAATCATATGTATATGTTTTTATTTCTTTATATTTAAATTTGGATTTAAAACTTTCTGCAATTCAGAGCTCTAGGTCTGGGATTGTTTTGGAGCTATAATGAGAAAATCAGTAATATCGTGCAACAGTTTCTTTAATTTAATTTGGCTAATGGAAGAGCTTCAAAAGTATAAATTCGATTACCATGCTCAATTTTTTGGAGAGGCAGCAGCCCTCTTCCGTTGTCTGACCCTCAACCAAAAACAGTGCTGCGACATCAACGAAACTTTGCCACAAAGCCATCATATTGCTCTCCTGGACCACGGCTCCACTTTTGGATCCCCCTCTATTCTAATAGGTATCATTTTTTAACCATAGAAATGATCTTTTTTATAATATGTTCTACATCTAGATTTTTCGCAAATTAAAGTTTTTAAAATCAGAATTCTTGGTTGCAAATTTTAATATGTATTTTGATGGTGTCAATTTTAGGAATCACTTGCAAGGCAGTAGTTTTGTTTTAGCTTTTTTTTTGTGTCTATGCAGATCGATCTTCGCAAGTTCAATTTTACTTTGCTAATTTGACTACGCTTTCTACTCCCAATGCCTTTTCAAAGTTGATGTAAGAGGTTTATTTTACGTTTGCAAGAGCACATTGACATATGCTCTTGAATGTGCAGGATAACAGTTCGCTCACATTCTTTCTGGACATATTTGTTCATCAAAGACAAGGATTTGATCGATTCCTCCATATTTGAGAATATATTCTAGGCAAGGACATTGAGTTTTCGACACAGAGATGGCAACCCTCCGCAACGGTCTTAGACCATGCTATGTCGTTGTACCAAACTGATTCACCAGGGGGTCTCAAAGATTTAGGGCACGAAGAACAAGCCTATGCCGAAGTGATGCGAAGTATTGATAGGGCTTTGTTTGTCAGGACACACCACCTTACGATGACAGCCCAATGAGTATAGGTTTCAATCTTCACTATCTCAGCAGCACCTCATATGCATGCGATGTGTCTCAATTGTTTGAAACATAGATTGCAACCAGGCATGCATGCCTTGGATATTGGTTCAGGTATGAAATCAGAAAATTCACAAACTTTTAAAGAATGTGCGGGTTTTGGAGGAGGGCAATCATTGGAGATTTAAGTTTATACCTTATAGACGGGCATGGGATTTTATGAAAATTGAGACCCCGTTTGGTACACGGAATTCAAACTATGGAATTGCAATTGAGGACTTCAATTCCAATTCTGGTGTTTGGCAGCACAAAAATTATGTAAATGTGAAATTGGCAGTGTAAGAAATGAATTGGAATTGATGAATTCAATTCTATGGAATTGAATCTCATGGAATTTCAATTCCAATTCAATTCCAATTTCATCAATTCCGTATACCAAACGGACCCTGAATAAATTACATAATACTACCTCCGTGCCTGAGTATTTGTCCAGTTCTGATTTTTTTCGGTCAACTATTTTCAACCTTTGACCTATAATAAAATAAAATATACATTATATTTTCATTAAATAAAATAATATTTTGAATATATTTTGTTAGAGTGCATCCCACATCGGAAGTTCAAGAGTAAAATAACCGGTATATAAGCTCTTGAGTTGGACTAACTAATTGATTGGATTCAATCTTTTAATGTGGTTCAACCCAAGTGTCTTATTGCCCAATCCAATTGTCCATACCCATCCTAAATTTTATCATGGTATCAAAGCCAGTTTTAGCCCACCTCGTTTGTCTAGGTGTCCGTCTAGATGTTCATTCCTAGCGGCCCGTTAGTCTTTAGCCCAGTTGTCCGTATGAATGTTTTACCCAACGGCCTGTGGCCTGTTTAACACGATTGCTCGTCTGGAAGTCCATATCCAGCGGCTCATGGTCCTTTAGGTGTTGGCGCTCAAAAAAAAAGAAGTCAGGGGAATGGGAGTTCATTTGCAAGTGGTCAACCGGTTAGATTCAAAATGGCCCGGTTGTCCACTTGAGGGGGAGTGTTAGAGTGCATCCCACATCGGAAGTTCAAGAGTAAAATAACCGGTATATAAGCTCTTGAGTTGGACTAACTAATTGATTGGATTCAATCTTTTAATGTGGTTCAACACAAGTGTCTTATTGCCCAATCCAATTGTCCATACTCATCCTAAATTTTATCATATTTGATATAATAAATCTAATAAAACTCTTTTTGTATCAATATCTAATATCCTTTTTATTTAATTTAAAGTGAAAAGTGGACAAATACTCAGGGATGGGGGAGTAGGTACAAATAAACTTCCAATCATCATTTATTGAATTGAAAATATGAATTGAATCAAATCTTGAATATTGGATGCTTTTGTGAACTCTTAACTTTCCTACTGTCAAATCTTTCTACGATCGTATGTGTCCTCGCCTTTTGAATATCTTTTTTTGTAGATGTAAACTTTTCTTTTTGTTTCTATTTAAGTTTATTTTAGGGTAAAGTTGATCATTTATATTTGTCCGTCTTAATTTAATTTACCTATTAACGGTTTGATTGAAGTTATTTTTAAATTAATTTATTTGAAAATTGGTATGAAATTAAAGAATGAAGTTTAAATTTTTAAAAACTATATTAAAAGTCTTAAAAAATAAAGTTGAAAAAATACTATTTTATTTTCCCAAACAGGTAGCGAAAATAAGTATAAAACGTATTTAAAGTTTAACTAGCGAATAGTAAATATATTCTTAAAAATACTACATTGAGTCCGTTGAAAACAAACTGATACGGAGTACTTCTTTTTTTTATTCCAAACTTTTCCTTAAAATTGTATTCATTTTTACTATTAAATTTAGCACATACATGAAAATATAATGATGACAAATAAATATTAAAGAATACTACTAAAAACACCATATTAAAAAGGTTTTGGATAAAAAAATATCTGGGAAAATCTTTAGTGATTCCATTGGGAATTCAAAAATTGATTTTTATGAAATTCAAGAATTTTTTTAGAAATTATACTACATCGTTTCTGAGTATTTGTTCAATTTTGACTTTTTAAAATCAACCATTTTAAAATTTTGACCTATAATTAAATAAATCATATCGTATATTAAATAAATAAAATAATATTTTGAAAATATTTTATAAACTAAATATAAAAAATTTATTTCTGTATGAATATCAAATATTATTATTATTTAATTTATAGTCAAAATTTGCGAATTTTAATTGAAAAAAGTAAAAGTAGACAAACGCTGAATGATGGAGGTAGTATTCTTTTATGAAAAATGCTAGGGATTACAATCAGGTGTACCTCATTTGTCCCCCACCCCCTCCATTACCACAAAAATGGGCAAGAAACTATAAAAAAATTAAATAAATAAAAATGGGGTAAAAATGAGTGGTGGAGAAAGGGGTGAGGGACAAATGGTGTACCCCTAGCATTGCTCTTCTTTTATTGTGTGCATTGCAATTTAGAT